CCCCAAAACCCCAAAACCCCAAAACCCCATGATGTTTTTAAAATACTGGAAGAGAATTATTAGATAAATATATTTAATATGGAAATGACTACTCCAGTTGAGTTTGATGAGAACCTCTCTGATGAGTTTATTGATGAAGAGGTTTCTTCTTGGTCAATTAGAAAATCAGACAAAATTCTTGTTAATATGAGCGAGAATTCACTTAGTAGCAAGAAGAAGAGAAAGAATTCTTTCATCCATGGCTCCAAACACCTTCATTTTCCTGAGAGTGACAAAGAGCATGAAGAGCCACCTCGTCTTGAATTAAAGATGCATAAAATTCAATCTTTGAATTATCAGAAGAAAGACAATAAAAATGTTGGCAAAGATAAGGAGAAAAAATCAAATGCCTCTTTAAAACAAGAAATCAGCAGTCTTCTTAAGTATGCAGCTAAACTTAGAAGCAAAGAAATGATGAAGGATTGTCATGCTCAACAAGCTGCTAAGGATCATAAAAATAACTTTCTAAAGGACCTTCCATCACCTAAGAAGGCAGCAATGAAGGATATGGAGCCTTGTTAATTAAACAATCTTTGCTTTTAATAAAATTCTTTCATTAAACCTTATTTATTAACTTTACGGTAATGGTTCCGTTTCTCCCCTTGAGGCATATTCCTAAAAAATTAGTGAATATCTTCGGGTGGTTATTTGGCCTTGTATTCTATTCTAGAGTATTTTTGAAAATTATAGAAGGTTATCAAAACACCCGCATCAATGCTGATTCTTTCAGTTTATTTTTAAAATAAAAATTATGAGAATATTTAATATGTTTTCTTTTTCTTTCTTGATTTAGCAACTATATTCGATGGACTATTATTAGCTTTATTATTGATTGAGACTACCTAAGTGATTATCTATCGGAGAATCTAAAGTTAAGAAAGTATTGCAACTTTTTGTGAATATATAACTCCTGAAGAAAAGTACATACCAGAAGAGGGAAATATTTAATTCGTGTTAAACTCTCTCTTCTTCTTTTAGTTCAATTTTTTATTGGACAAGGAAAATATCAAATTTCCAAGATTCATTGCATTACATTATGTAGATGGAAAGGGTTCTTTGCAAAATTTTAAATTCATGGTAATCATAGCACAGATAATTACTAATCATGATTCTGTGGATTAAGTAAGGCAATTATCTTAACACCTACAAGTGAAGCAATAATTCTATTCATATATCTTCTAAAAACATCATATCATCTTCTATTTTTGTCAGAGCATGCCAAATTTATTCTGATTTATCCAAAATTTGTCATAAAAATTTTGATGCCCACTATCTTTGGTATCCCAAGAAATTGGCAAATGCTTATAAGGTCAATCAATTTCTTAAATCCGTTTTTGGTCTATTTTTGTCATGTCAAATCAGCTCTTCAATATATTTCTTGGCCATTTCTATTTCAACGTGAAATATTTAGTTTGGGGTTTTGGGGTTTTGGGGTTTTGGGGTTTTGGGG